TTGCTGCATACAAGAGTTTCCTGCAGAATTTCTGACACTCAGTTACAGCCTAAGGTAAAAGCAAAGAAACATGTCTACGAATTTAGAACTAATGGAAATTAAGGTAAAGTCTTCTAAACTTACCCTCTAGAAAAGAGATATACATTGCTTAGGAGTCTGAACTGAAACCAGAAAAGAAGATAAAGCATCTAGTGACTCTAAGAAAAAGAAGGTATTTTAATAAATCACAGCTTGGCAAAAAAGATAACTTGTTTGCATATGTTTTTCCCTCCCTTACCAATAGCTCAGTGCTACTGGCAAGGCTTAGGAGGAGAGAGGGGGGCATGAGAGGAAGAAACATTCAGAGCTTGTTGTGACCAGTCCCCGTTAGCACAGCCTGTCCCTCACAGCTCCGGAGAGGACTGCGGGCTGCTCATCAAGCTCCCTGCCAGCCTGACTCCTGCCCAGCGCTCCCAACCCAGGTCAGCCAGGCAGCGGGCAAGCCAAGGCAGGGATAAACCAGGCCTAATTAGCCCTAAGACTAGTGGCTTCGAACCTGCTTAGCTGGGGGTTTTGTATCCAATGGCTCTGCGAAGCAAAAGCTTTCCACTTCGAAGGCTGAACCTGTAGCTGAGTCGTGCTGGCTGTCTGTGCCTATTAGGAGTATCTGGAATAGGGATTGAGCTATCCACATAAATGTTCAGTCAGAACCAGGTCATTTTTCCTCAGTAGAAATAAACTCTGATTATTAGAGGCATCAATCACTTTCCTCCTCTCCACATTATTCAGATCCAGAGTACACAGCATATTCTCCAAACATAACCTTGAAACTCTGTTTTAAAGAGACAACTGGAGAGTGATCGAGGCGGCTACGAGGCTTTGAGAAGTTAGTTCAATATTGCTGCTCCTGATAGGTCTGTACACAAATTCAAGGAAGATAGAGCACACTGTGGCAGACGCTCTTGCATCACTTAATTGCGCAGTATAAATTAGTTATTATTTTCCACAGGTTCAACGCTGCAAGCAGCTATAAACAGAATGCTCTGCTCTAATGAGGAAGGAATAAAACCAGTAGAGCAGCATGGCCATCACCCTTGAAAACAATACTGTTATTTGCAGCCCCTTGTAAGCAAAAAAGGACATTTACATCCCAATTTGTCCTTTTTAATAGCGGGCTACGGTTACACACCTCCTCTGCCGCAGACCTCAAGGCAAAGGTGCCTGTAGCAGGGAAGGAAACTGGTAGTTTCTCCACCAAGGGTCACTGTTAGAAATTCCTCATATTTTATGAAGGAAGAATTTTTTTTTGGTGCATAGGTATAAACATATCCAGACATTTAAGCCCCACACAGTAGATTCCCCCCTATCTATTGCTACAGTTAACAGTTATAAATTCAGGCTGGGAAGCGCTGCATGAAGAACAGTGGCCTAGTTATTTCTCTATATATTTTTATATCTATCTATATATGTGTGTGTATGTGCATAAGTGTATACACAAGGATGCACACCTGTATATTTAGATCTATCTGTTTGTGGCTTGGCAAGCACAGGACGCACGCACAAGGCAGTCATGCATTATTTAGTCCCTGGATCTCATCACCTCTTTCTCTACCTGCCCAACTGAACCGAGCACACTAATGCAGGAAATCATGATTGCAACAAGCTCTCATTGCAGCTCCTGCCCTTCCAAACCAGCCATGGGGTCAGATAGCCCATCTCAAGGTACCCAGGCATATATGCTGTATTTCCAAGAAGATGAAATTCTGTAATACATCCCTATTTAAGCTATGCAGCCTTTAATTTCTGACACAAGTATGAATTTTAATTGCATGCCTTGAAGCATGGAGGACTGGTAGCCCTTTTATTATGGTAGCTAAACCGCACACGTCATTAGTGATGAAGTGGCCAGCACTTACATAGCAATTCCAAAATGTTAAGCTCAGCCTGGCTATTGGAAACACCAGTCACACCCCCAACAAAAGCCTGGCGACAGCCAGCTCCACCACCCGGTTACATTTTACATACAAAACCCCTCTCTCTGCAGGAACACTAAGGGTGAAGCCGTTAGTTCTCTCAAATGCACTGTCCAAATGCCTTGGTGCAGGTGTCACCCCAGCAGCGAGCTCAGGACCCCCCTGCAAGGGGGTCCATGAGGGCAGGACAGCGTCAGGCAGGCAAAACAGGGGGGCCCTGCAGCCCTCCTGCTCGCTGCCCCACTCCCCGGCTGCCTAAGCTGATTTGCAGGGGCCAGCAGGAGCATGAACATATTAGATCACAAAGGACCAAGTTTGTTGTTGTTGTTGCTGCTGCTCTTCTTTTGAGCTGCCTTAATTAGGTCTCCAAGATTTCAAAATTAAAAGGAAAAAAAAAAAAGAGTGGTGCTGTAGAAAACTATCAATATTAACGAATAAGCCACATTGCCAGCTTTTAAAAATATTCTGATTGAGGCTAAATCAGCATATCTAAAAGTGACCTATTTGAAATAAGTATGTCACCAACAAGTCCAATATCTAGGTCACCATTTGTGCAACAATTCCAGTCAGTCCTGAAAAGGACTGTTCACCTCAAGGCACATACAGAAACACAAGAAAACCAACTCACCATCCCCCTCTAACAAGTCCATTAGGGCAGTACTTGACAGCTGTCTTGTCCAAGATATATTTGACTCTTAGAACGAATCAGATTATACAAGAGATCCCCACTTTTAATTAAATTGAGCCCAAGCCCTTGCAAACATGAATGGAAATCTTTTCCCTAGCATACTTTTATTTATTGTAGAGATAATGCACTGGGATTCATCTCATTCTGGAACACTACTAAACAAGTTGTCATTGCCAGTATTCAGTGGGGAGAAAGAGTGCAGAGCAAGCATTCTTTGCAAAGCCTCCTTTCAAGATTATGCTTGCTATTTCAAGATAAAATAACACCATCTTCTAGCTCTTTTGAGGTATATACAAAGACACACACAACAAATTTTTCAGTTGAAAACTGAAGTGAGAAATTCTAATGAAATATTTTACCAGTGCTCTCCTCCTGTCCTTACATTAACATTTGCATTATACTTGTAAATAGCAGAAACCTGTTTTCAGTAGCCTATGCCAAGAGCACCAAAAACTGCAGAAACAAAACGATCACTGACCATGATCAACTCAGTATGGATGTTACTTTCAGAACGAATGCTATTACATAACTCAATTTAGAAAAAATTTAGATCTTATTCATAATAATTCAGAAAGCTGCAGACATTATATAACCTACCATCATTACATAAGTAAATCAATCAATCTTTAAGGAACATATGACCAACCTCTTAACAAACAACTGGAAGTTCAAAGCTGGAGAGCCAAAATGCCTTCCGTTTCCACGTGAGGAAGAACTTCTTTACTGTGAGGGTGACAGAGCCCTGGAACAGTCTGCCCAGAGAGGTTGTGGAGTCTCCTTCTCTGGAGATCTTCCAAACCCGTCTGGATGCCGCCCTGTGCCACGTGCTCTAGGTGTCCCTGGTTGAGCAGGGCAGGGTTGGACTAGATGATGTCTAGAGGCCCCTTCCAACCTCAACCACTCAGTGATTCCATCCTAAATTTGATATCAAGACTACAAAGCTTCATATGGTATTTTCTTGACTAACACGAGTATTTCAACTGCTTGGAATTGGAGTAGCTTCCAAGACAGCAAAACCTGAGGCAAGCCATTTCACAAGAAGTGTGATTTCTTTCCTGCACAAGAGCTCCATCTGAACTACTGAGCTGCTGCTGAAACCTCCTATCCTTTGCTCGTACAGGCTCGCCATGACTGAGCCCGCTTACATAAAAGCACTCAGACAAGGAGAGCATCAGTTGCAGGAAAGTGGGGTTACTGCAGCATTAGTAGTTTCTCTGTTTCCTGTCTCTAAAACTAGTGTTACTGCACAGTACTTCCCACACAACTGCCTTGCACACAATCACGTCCATGTCTGGCTTTCAGTCTAAGGATAGAAAACCCAAACATTAAAAAAGCAGATCAAAATGGCAACGTGCTCTCTTCAAAACCCAGGAATCCATAAAGCTTAGCCTCAGTTTTTGTACTACAAGAACAGAACATGAGGGGAAAGATGAGGAAAACTAGGTATCGTTTCTCCCATGATGTATATTTTACCAAAAACGAGTATAGCAAATTTCCTTAGTCACGAGGGCCTGAAAACAGAGTTTAAACCATGTAGTTTCTTTCTGCCCTTACCTAAGAAAAATGGGAAGCCATCATGACTACATGGGACCATGCTCTCACGCTGGCTCTCTTCCCAATGCTGTTAGTCATTTGGGTGCACCAGCGAGGGGGAGAGAAGCACTGCATGGCACAGAACAACCCTGCTCTGCCAGTAATTCAGAGGGACTTTCTGCCCATTTATCTCCCCTTCTGAAGTTCATTGTTTTACACTGTTTGCCTCACTCATTAGATTTGTCTTTATTCAATCAATGTCAAAGCCTCTGGAGCCCGGGCTTCTTGCACAACAGAAGTTTTATAGTAAAATAAAACAAATCAGTGTTCAAGATACAGAAGATGCTTTAGACTTCAGGAAAATTTATCATGAAAGGTAGCAGGGATTAAAACATTAAGAGATAATTGCAGAAAACAACCTTTAAGCAATACAAAATGGAACTAAAATGTCAAATGAACATAACAGAGGACATGAGTTCTCATTGTAAAGCCAGCTTTAAACACACTATAAATTTAGTTTAGGAAGGCTTTACTAATTAATACAAATGATGGGATAAAAAATCTGTTATGAAACTAATGGGAGATTCAGTAATATTTCCAACAGTAAACAATTCCTTATTCTAACCAGTCAATCTTTGGGCTCTGTATAGGAGATTAATTAAATATTCTTATGCTATTTCAGATTGTATTCATACTGAAATAAAGCTTTTTAAACTGCAGTCTTGACAGCCACACTTCCCTCCATCTCTCTTCTACTGATCTCACTCCACCCATCACCCCAGTCCCACTGCAAGGCAGAACAAGTCAGGATTTAGGATTCCTCTCACCTTTGATGCTTGTCGAAGCCATCGTAAGTATTCGGTGAAGTTATCAAAACAAATGTAATAGGTCTGGCTTTGAGGTCCAGAGGAGCTAAAAGCTAAACAGTGCTGGTGCTTTTTCACTTCTTCCACCTGCAGCAAAGGCACAAAACAGTTAGTGAACAAGAATCAGAAGTTCTCTGCAGAATCCCACAGGGCGAAGTTAAAACATGCCCAGAAGGAGCTCTAGAAAAGAGTTACTATCCCTCTAAAGGACTCAAGCTGAGTGTCAAATATTCACCAAACCTAGGTAAGCAAGGAAGCAGAACACCTGGAAGCAGTTTAGCAGAACTTTTAAGCCTGCTCACCTCTATTTTCCAGAATGCTAGAAAATCTGTTAAAAAATGACACAGGCTTTATGGCTAGAAGGAAAAAATAAAGAACCCCAGCTCTTAAGCACATGACTTAAAGCCTCATGTCACAAAGGCAGAGCAAAACTGAGGTTGGCTTTCTCTGCTGCATGCAGAGACACATTTGGCAGGAATTCCAGTTTGAGTTGATAGCTGCTGGTAAGACTGAAATAAAGAGAAAATAGGTATATTCCTGTTATTTTCCAATGCTTAAAGGCATTCTGGATTTGTTTCGTTTTTCTATTCCAGGTTTTTGCAACCTTCTTTTTGCTCACCCTTTGCTAAGATATGCAAGACCTGAAGAGACTGACAAGTTTAACGAAGGAACCAAGGAAAGAAAACACCAAGAACATCAACATTTTAAGAAAGACCGAGAATCAAAACTGGTTTCCTAGGGAGAGACATTTAAAGCTGTCTTCAAATGACCTAAAGGATCATATTTTTTACTCCCGAATAGCAATACTATTAAAAACAGGCTTAGTAAAACACTTCCCATCCACCCCAATTAAATTCTTTGGCACTTCTTGGCTTGCTAAAACCCACCCCAGAATACATCATCCTGCTGCCGTGCGCGCAGAGTCCCACACAACTTATGGTGTTGGTGCCTCAGCTCCACAAGGCAGGAAGCACAACGTATTTGTGGGGCTGAGCAAGAAGGGTTTTTTGAGCAATAATTTAAAAAGCACTTAAGTCTGTGCCAAGCATCCTCCAACTCCAGCTTTGTCAGGAGAAGTCCTCAGTACATTTTTCCCCAGCTCAATTCTCCTTTTCTTTTTCATTTGCTGACAACTTTCAGTTTAACAGTCTGCATGTTTTACATTACAGGAGGCATTTTTGTGCCAGAGCAGCAACTTAGAAAGTCCATGCTAAGGATTTAAGAAAAGGCACACCACCCTTCTTTAAAAAAAATTCTCTTTTTATCTTAAAGAGAAGGCCTAAGAGGGCCCTTTCCAACATGCAGCAGCCAGAAATGCCATTCACAGCCAGAGCGTGTGCACAGAGGGGCTACGAGAGAGGACCCAGGCTCTACTTCAGTGCCTCCAGGAAAGGGCTACAAACCACGCCATGAATTGTAAAAAGGGACAGGAAAACACTCCTGGAAGCAGGGACTGGTTTCACAGCAGTGGAACAGGCTGCCCAGGGGAGTGGTGCAGTCACCCACCCTGGTAGTGTTCTGGAAACGTGTAGATGAGGCGCTTGGGGACACAGTTTTAGGAGGCAGGATGCTGAGAGGCTTACGCTGGGACTCAATTATCTCGAAGGTCTTTTCCAACCATAAGGGTCGTACGATTAATGAATAAACTGCACGTTCTGCATGGAGCATTACGAAGCTTGTTTGTCTCGAAATGCATCTTAAGTATTAAACTTCTTAAAATGCCAAGTAAAATAACATGATTTCAGGTGTAAATTCAACTTGAGGCTGAGGGAGTAAAATGAATTATTTCCCCATCACTGTGGGTAACTAACCTGGTCATAGTGACCCCAACATATATTTAAAATAAAATAGCTAATGGCTTGTATGTGATTAATAAGAAAAATATCCAGCTTCATCTTTTTAAAAATAAAAATGTTTGCTACTCTTCACCTGCATTAGAACACTACTCATAATGCTGAATGCTCAAAACAACACCACCAACAAAAATAATTTTAAAAATACAGAAAACAGATGTTCAGAACAGACCTTTAACCCATTTAGCTTTGGCGCTTCTTTTATGTCCTTTTAGGTTGGTTTTCAAGTCTTTAGAGTAACACAGCATGGCTAAAAACTGGGCAGAGGCACACCCATAGGTCATACACAATACAGTTGTATGTAACATTTAGCTGTGTACGAATGCACACATAAAATATTTATCACTGCACAGAAGAAAAAGAGACTGTTATCTATTGAAAACAATGTGCTGCCATCACTGCTCTTTATCATTTTAGTCCAAACTTCATAAATTTTTAAGTAGAGAGTCAGTTATTTGCCCTGATGATCCCACCTGACAAGGCAGATTTTCTAAGGGAGGGGGGGAGTGATAACTGAACATGATCTTCTCTGCGCAGAGAGACGGGGATTTGGCAAACAGCATTAGCAAGCAATGCTAAAAACAAAATCTTACTTTTCCACCAATTAAAGGGAGGACATGCATCTTTCCAGTCTGGCTTTCTTTCACTGAGGAGACGATCAGACATGTTCCACAAAGGATGGCTTGGCGTCTCGTCCATCTGTTGACTGGCAAATGTATTTTCCCTTTTCGAACATTGTACATTCCTGAGAGCTGAATCCGTTCAGAGCTGCCAGTGCTGTGGGGCTTCCCTGAAATGGAAACAAAAGCATCCACTTGATCACAGAGAATCTTTGCTGCTTTCATGCAAGTCTCCCAGACACAGACCTCCTGTGACAAAGGGAAAATTCAGCTTTATAACCATGTGTTTGGGTAATGCGGTATCAGCTCCAGTGCAGGCTTCCTTCATCACTAGTACATGAACAGGTTGCTCTCTTGATTAGATTAGACCACGCTCTTGCAGTCCCATAACCTGCAGTAGTCATCAAAGCACCAATTAACGGTGCCAACTTTCTTCTGTGGGACCTGACAACCAAATGTTCATCTCAGCAGTAAAGTACCTTGCAAGGCAGCCTCCTGTTGAGTGCATGCTCACTCTGTGGTAACTGCTGAAAGGGGTGAGGTACTCCTGCATGTTCATGGGCATATCTTTCCATTTCATTGCCCCTTTCCTTGCTATCCTTAAGGTCATGGTTTGAACAGCTTCCCATGCCGAGTAGTTCCCGCTCCCTCCAGCCCTCTGTTCAGTCCAAATCCGGCAGCAGAGGTGGTACCCTAAACTACAATGTAACCAGAGACAACCTAGACACCTCCAGGTGACTCTGCTTCAGTTGAGCTTTAGAAACAATGATGTAATTTTGTCCATATTATAATGAATTCTCTAGTTATAATAATTCAGATTATTAAACTAACAATTAGACTAAAACTGTTAAAAGACTCATCTCAAAATGGCTCAGAGTCTAACAGAATCATGCTTTCTACAGAAGCAACCTTTATAATGACACTTATCCCCATCATGTTGCCAATATCCTGCCTCTCTTCCTCCAGGACTGCATTCTTTCAGGACGTAAATGGTAAAAGCACAATTCACTCTTTTTCATTCAAAGAATCAACCCCCCCAAAAAACCCTAGAGTCTTCTGCAAGCAGAGACCAGAGGTAATCACATTTAAGGTCAACTGTTTCTGGAGGAACATCAGTGGCAGTGAAACTCAGAAAGGGAGATCCCCTTGCTGAAGAACCAAAGGCTGTGTTACCTCTATGTAGCTTCCCCATCACAACACCCAAGATAGAGATCAGTGCAGGAAGATGAGTGGTTTAACAAGAGTGCTTCAGAAGAAAAGAATTATCAACAAGTTCAGACTCCAGAAAAGCAGAGGGTTGAATCTCTCTTCCAAACCAACTCTTTCAGATCGGGCCAGTTAAACCAAGGCACTGACAACCACTGCACGCCAACTCCAGGCGTGCCTGTGCTCCTTGCAGGATGGCTCATTTGCCTCAGGGAGTCTGCTCTTTCCTTCCAATTACCCCACTGGAGACAGAAGACACTTATCACAGCATTTCTCTGCCCCCATCCTGCACCAAGCCTTGGCCTCCCCTTTAAGAGCAGCCTTCTTGAATCTTCCTGGCAGTTTCAAGAGCCAAGTCCTGGCACAGTTACCTCAAATCCCGCTCTGCTCTAATAAACGCTGGCATAGAGGCTACCACTGCCAGCCAGGGTGGATATGCAGGAACATTACTGGTGCTTGAAGCTAAAAGACAGAAACTCTAATGCCTACAGGATACTTACAGCATTTATTAAAATAAAATACAAAAACCAGCCGCCTTAAGAAAGCAGTAACTTCACTGCCAAGCAAATGCAATTCCAACAAGAGAAACTGTGGATAAACACTTTTCTCGAGCCCAGCAGAAGAGTTGAAGGGAAGAATGTGCACTGAACACATCGAGGTTGCACTGTACGCGTTGTACACAAAGTTACGGAACAACTAGTGTGGAAGACGAGTCACTAAACCAGTGAGCAACTCAGCACTCACTAAATACAGAAGCTGAATCGAACTCTGGATCCAGAATGCAAAAACCTAGCTGCAAAGTAACAGATATTTTACCTGGCTTATGCCAGCAAAGCACTAACTGTGCATAGTGGCAGTAATATCTCTGTAATGGACTAAAAAGTGTTCCACAGCGTCCAAAGTATGGCTGTAGGAAGAATGGTTGTTAGGAGTATGGACAGTTTCAGCTCAGAAGCAACTTTTGAAACAAGACTGTTTCCCAGAGCCTGTTTCTGGCTGCATTCCCTAACTTTATCACCTGTTTTGAAAAGCACAATTCATTGCTGAAGGAACTCTTGGGGACTGCAAAGCACAACCTGAATCCCTTGGGAAGCCAAGTCCATTCAAAATCACATATTTTAATACACCTGAATGCAACTTTATCCCTGGAGGAAAAAAGAATGGAGGTCACACCTAATATGGGGACAGCACCAATCCTCAGAAGTTCTTCGGGATCGTGGTGGGTAACAAAGGACATGGACTCCCGCCGCAGCCAGGCGGCCTGGCAGGAAACGCGAGAACGCTCGGCAGCGGCAGAGCAGTAACACGACCCGGCTGTGTGCGCTGGGAAACTCAGTGCTGGGACAGCACACTAGCCAGCCACGCTGCAAGAGGGGTGCTGAAAAACTAGAGAGATTGCACAAAAGTTAAAATAAATAAAAATTTAAAAAATAAATCACGCACACACACACACACCAAAACATGCCCCTGGGAAACCTGCTTCCCGGGATGACTAAACAACTCATTCTCTCAAATTAACCTCATAAGTAGAGATGCTTGGACCAGTAAGGGTACTCATAACTTTCAAACAGGCAGTTTTGCAAATTTCTGATAAATTCAGCTGAGGTTATAAACTGCAAGTCATAGTAAATTACTGTTAAAAAATCTTTACTAAAAAAGCTGGAACAGAAGCTAGAGCAGAGCTATCCTTTGAAGCCTTCACGCTAGGTCTGAACTGTACTCTTTCTCAAACTACAGATTTGATGAAACAACTACCAGGGTAAAATCTCCAGCTATTCTCTCAAAGACTGTTTGACTGCTCCCCTTCGAGTCTGAAGGATTTAAAACACACTTCACCTTGCAAGTTCTGCTCCTTGCAACAGGAAACAGTCCTGATGAGAAAGGAAAAAATGCTAAACTTTTCACTAAAACAATTGTTCTCTTCATATTCTTGTCCACACAACTACATAACTTGAAATGTCTACATTTAATATTGGATCACATGTTGCCTGAAAGACAATCTGCTCACACATAATTCAGTTTTCTTCCTGCTAAAGGGTTGCTGCTGCCTTTGATACTTAGGAATATCCTAATACTATTATTATGCCAGAGAAAAACTCAACAAACAGCAAAAGCTGACAGCTTATTTTGAGTTTAAACAATGGTTATTCAAGGATATATCAACTAATAGTGAAACCGGAGTCCTAAATCCCCTGAAGTGGCGCAGATAAGTGGCTGCCTACCAGGAAGCAACCCTGCTTACTGAAAGACAAGCTTGAACAGATTGAGGTTTGGAAAAGCTCAACTAGTTGCTACCGGAAGAGTATAAAGAGTAGAAGTTTAAATGACCGCAAGCTACGGAGATACGGCCACAACACAAGGCAGCTGGGACACAAAAGCAGTGCAAAGCAATCCCCAAGCTCTTGCTGCTCCTCCCCTCACGGCAGTAACCAAATGAGAAAGGATCCACAATTGATGCAAACCACCTTTTTGTTTTACAGAGTGGAGTGGGGCAATGACAGCATCACCTGAACCACTTTAGCCAAGGATCAAAAAAAGGCAACAAAGAGCACAAATTCTTGGCCAATCAGAGCATCTCCTGTAAAATAAATCAATTGCTGAGGAAGCCTACCTGTGCTGCTGAAAATACTGTTTCCAGTGAAGGGACCAGCTGTTCTGAAACCACCTTCCACCACCCATCTGACAGACTTCCCCTTTGTGCTTGAGGAGATAAGTGAGACTCACATTCAGGTTTTGTCTTCAGTTTTTACTGTATCCAAAGGGAGCGGATGAGTTTTCACAGAGGTTTGTGATATTATTTTGAAGCTAACCGTTCTGCAGATAAAAAGGTAACCATAATCCTTTGTGACTTGAAACGCGAATTCAATTCCTTTCCAAAAGCTGAGGATAACTATTATTCAGACAGGAGGCAAGTGTGCCAGAACATCCCGAAGAGCTGCACACCAGAACGTGTTTTTCAGTTGTTAAACCCAACCAGAGCAGGTCGGGTGTTTCAGCAAGAAACCCTGAAAAGATTATTTTTTGTTCCTGTCAGGGCCCCAGATGCAGAGCACATCCACAACAGGACTTTTGTTCTACATGAGGCACTAGAGGAGACGCCCTGAGGAACTATGAGCAGACCATTCATTTGGCCGTCTTGACATTCATGGTTGAGCTCCTTGCACTTTCAGTTTGCCTTAAGACCTGGAGGGAAGTCAGTGGTATTTAGAACAAGGACACAGAAAAAAGCAGGATATCTGATTTAAAAGGCAGGACTGTTGTTTAGACCAGGAACATATGGTCCTTAACTGGAAGCATGGACGGGACACCAGTGATCTTTCCATAACGATCCTTCTCAGGCCTCCCCACAAGCCGCTTGAAGCCGTTTCGGGTACACAGCGTACTGCCATCCTGCCTGGTGCAAAGACTCCAGGCCTTATTAAATACCCACAGCCATTTGATTTGGACTCTGGAATAAAGCTCTTTATCCTCGCAACGGAAGGCACATGGAATACGTTACTGTAAGAAGTTATAGGGGACTAGCTCATTATGGGACATGAAAGTATTTGGAAAAAAAAAACTCTGAAGTTATAAAGCTGATTAAGTTGCAAGTACTTATTTTTCCACCCTGTTTGAAAAGTACAGCCAAAAAAAGACTGCCTGTAAAGAGTTATTTAAGATATTACCAAAATAAGAGGGGGCAGAAGTGTTGATACAGGAAACACGCTCACTTCTGAGCAGAGGGTTTTAATTTTTTTTTTTTTTTTAAATTACTAATATTGGTCTGTCAGAATGAAAACTTAAACTTCTCTTGGGCCTGTGTGACACAGGCAGCCTGGCTAGCTTGAAAGATTGAATTCTTCTCAGAGCTGTCTCAGGAGCCGCCTGGCAATAAAGACATCTAGCTACGCTGTTCAAGAACACACTTATACATCCTGTCGCAGGATGTATTCAGTAGGAATAATCTCCACGTTTGAGGATTTCCAGAAGTGACAGAATGGCTCAGTTTTTCTGTGCCTAGTTTAGGGATGTCCTTTCCCAGCTGCAGCTGGGCCAGTAGAGGAGGTCATGGCCTTCATCCGCTCTCGTAGGGCCCTTGGCCTGGGGCCCGCACCACATCCAGTCCCATCAGCAGCAGCTCGCGGAAAGCTGGCCCCAGGCCCTCTCAGGCAGAGCAGACTGCTTCGGTTCCTGCGTTTCTCTGGGATTGTAAAGGCTCAGAGACAGCTCTGGCGAGACGAGGGGCCCCGTGCGGAGAGCGGCGGCCGCAGCCGTAACCCATGGCCGTCTTTGCCCACCTTCGGGAGGCGGGGAATGAATTGCTGCTGCTGAAGCCCAGAGCCCTCCGCCTGCCTCTGCTCCTGCACTAAATCCAGAGAAAGCTGTGGCCTCGGATATTTTGGAAGAGCCTCGGTTGCTTAAGGCGGCTTCCTCCCACATTCGT